TTCACAGGCCCATTGGGCTGAAAATGCCAAATTTCTCTTATGGAAAGTAGCACTGCATTTACTCCCTGTGTGGGTGGCTTTGGGACCAGTCATGTGAGAAGGTTTGTTTCCCAATTTGTTTTTAACTTCCCAGTTATGCCCTTTCCCAGTGTTGTCACCACTCATGCTCAGAGTTGAGAGTTGCAGGAGTAACAGAAGATGCGTGAGTAGAAAAGTGTTCATGGGCCACTCAGCTAGAAGTTAGTTGCTTGCTCATTAGTATTAAAACATTTTAAAATAACAGATGTCAGATGTTTATTACAGGTAAGAAGCACCAAGGGGTTAGGTTTGGTTTGGTTTTTAATCCACCAAGTTTCTTAGTTTTGTTTGTGAAGATCGTCGTCACCTAAAGCTGGAAGGTGGGAATGCCCCAACTGTCTGCAGCTCTCCTTAATTCTGTGCCTGTACTTCCTATGTATTAATCAGGTCAGTAGTCATCTCGCACCATGTCTACAAGGTAAATTAATAGCTTATGAAGCACTTTGAGCACTATCTAGTTACAGAACTGTCCAGGCTGGTAGGCTACAGAGGTACAGCTAGGCAAAACAAATGCCACAAGACCACATAGAGCTGCTAGAAGCAGAGGCCTAGGTTTGGCAGATCTACTTGGCCAAGGATTAGATGTTTTTAATACAATTTTATGTAAGAGAAAGCAGGGAGAGGGAAAGTATTTATTTTGCAAAGCTTCTTCTTAATATTAAACCTGTTACATGTGCATTTCAAGAGAGAGCTGTACTGCAGGATTTCACTGATTCTGGAGCGAGCAATTCTTACCGTCTTGTTCAAGAGCTCGCAAGTGACAGTGTGTGACAAGAGCGGGGTGCAGTAGCAGCGAGAGCTTGGTCGATTTCATCTGCAGCAATACCAAGGGCCGCCTTAAGATGGCAATAGTCACTTGCTAGCACAGCCTGCAACACAGTGAAACACGGTGTTGGTAAAAATAGTCATACATACTTTACCGGTTTCCCACTGTAACATGCTTTGTGGTAGTGTTTATTGAGGAGATGGGAGGCTTTATTTTGATCTCGGCCAAATGGCAGCATAGGGTTGCTTATATAAGGGAAGGTACGAGGTCAGAATCGGCCTTAAAAATCTAGGTTTGTAATAAAGTAAAACTTGCTTTGTTTTTTGACATGTTTTCAGCAATATTGGTTATGCATCAAATCCACTTTGTGTGCAGGGGAGGGGGCTTATTACTATGGAAAGTGAAAGTGCATATTGCCTATATGCTTCTAAAAGTTCAGTTCACTATGTCATTCACTATATCAGCCAAGGATAGCTTTCATTTTCTTTTAACTAAAACCAAGGCTTTCTTAGGGCTGAATCATAAAATGTTCTTTTATAAACAAAGTACTGAGCTTTCTCACTCTAGGATGATGTTTTTTAACTGTTACATTGAGATTCACCTGTAACACTGCATATATCTTAGTCTGATGGGAGTCAGGAGTGGACTGCGTCTATTTTACTGCCATTTTCTAGAGAAAACCGTTTAAATGGAAATTATAAACCACTCTATTAAGTATAGTAGTTTTAAGTGGTCCTACTGCAACTTACTCCTTTACATTATTTATTTACTTAGGGGACAAAGTCGTAATTTCCCACACTTGAAAATCTTAGGGTTTTTTGATAGCTCAGAATCATCTACCCTGGAAAGCAAGAGAAAGCTGCCTTGGCAGGTGACCTCCATTGAGTAATTCGGGATTTTACAAACCTAAGCTTGGGGAGAAGCAGAAGCAAGTGGGAACAGCATTCATGTGAATCTGAGCAAAATAAAGCACTACCCTAAAGTAGTGCTGTTCCTCCCTCATTTAGTAAAAGATTTTTAATTTTTTTTTTTTTATATTTAGTAAAAAATTTTAAAGTAATTTTTAAAGTAATTGCTGTCTTGTTCAGAGTTTTTGATTCAGAGTCAGGAACCAACTTTTGAGTATAAGGGATTTGGAAATGACAGCTTTCCAATTCCTCCTCCTCTTTCTTTCAGTCATTGCTTTTGTTTAATGTGAATGTCCTTTGCTTTTAGGCCATTTGGGGCAGTCATAAACCAGACAATATGGCACATGGGCCTGGAGTTAGCTAAGATTTGTCTCCAGATCTGCCTTCTCAAGCCAAATTCCTTTTGAAAAGGGGTTTTGTCTATATGAGTGCAACGGAGTGAGACCAGCCTTATATTCTTTCAACTCTAAGATGTAGTTAGTTTAATTGTACGGACCGTTTTATGTGCACTTCCTTTTCTAAGCAATTTCAACAAAGTATTCATAATTACAAAAACATGGTTTAGCAGAAAAACAAACAAAAAAATCCTCAGTATCTTTCCTGTTAGGCTGTTCTTGGCCCTTTTCCTAACAGTTGCTGGCAAAGTTCAACTTCACTGTTCGTTTCAGAGGCTCAAACAGGGATAGGAATGGACTTCACTGTAGCCTACAATAATTAATATTCTTCTGGCACAAGACACATTAAAGGGGTACTGACAAGAGAGCAGTCGTGGTACCAAAAATTCAACCAGTCCTTTGCATTTCAGATCAAAGAACCATAGGAAGAAAGTTTAAAAACCAGCATTCTCATTTTTGCTGAGGAAGAGGAACAAGATGTGGAAGTCTGCAAGTTGTATTGCAGTGTTATGGATACTTCATGGTTGGGGTGAAGTGCTTTTGGCTTACTTTTGGACCTGACTTTCCTGAAATTCAGATATCCCCATTGCTTGGCTTTCTCCAGCTATACAAGTTTGGGGTCTTCCTGGTGGTTCTACAAGAAGTTCCTGATGTGCTGATTTACTTAGGTGTCCACCCAGGTATGTGACATCTGCAGTGCCTGGCCCACTAAGGTGGCTTTAGCTGCGCAGGATTACAGCCCTGCCGGACCAATGCTCTGTTTAACCAG